GCTCCTCCTAAAGATGCAGGATGTAGGCAGGGAGAGAAGAAGCACCTCCTGAGAGGAAGGAGAGGGCCAGCTCCAGACCCACACTCCCATCAGCCTCACCCTTCCTGCACACATTAGGAAGTGTATGTATAACAAAAGGGTTGCTAAAAAATATAAGAAAGATTACCTATATTATGACAATTATATGTGTATGTATGTGAATCAGTGTGTAAAGGTATGTATATTTGTTTAAGTACAGGTGATTCTCATGTAAAAATATATACAGAGATAGAGGGAAAAATAGACCTAACATGCAAAGGCTCTTAAACCGGATAAAAATAGGGATCCACCAAAAACCTATTAAAACAATGTTAAAAATGTATTCTACTTAAAAAAGCAGCAATAGGAATCCAGGAGCTTCTAGATGAGCATCAAAAAATATATATAATATCAGAATATTCCAATAGATAAATGGAATGTGTGGCAAGGTTATCAATCCAGAAAAACTTATAGGTAGAGATAACCACTGCCTAATACTTTACTTCCATACACAATATAGGCTTGAAAGATAGATTGACATAATCCTTTTAGGATGTATACACTGCCAACATACATATAATGATAAATAGTATTAATATTAAGCAAACACCAGTATATGGAACTGGCTGCTGAAAATAGCAATGTGAAAAAATTATATAGCCGAAGAGTAGCTACTAAAAGCAAAGCCAATTTTATTAGAAATACAAAAATATGTTAAAAATTATGTTCACATATTAGGCAATAGATGGTAAAAGGTAAATATTGCACAAAAACCTTAGATTCCGGCACGGATGGATCTGGATGATCATTTCTGGTATAGTATCTGAATACTGGTAACCGGTGAGGCCGGTTTGCGTGTCACAGTGCGTTCCACCTCGAGCCTCACTTCAGGGGGAATTGCACTGCTCGTCAGGTCGTGCCGTTGAGAACTGTGCTTCAAGCTGATCACCGGACTGTTGTACTAGAACCTCTTCCTTCTATCGCTGTGTGAACGTTCTCACTTGTCTGACGCGTTTCGTAGGGAATAGCCCTACTGCCTCAGAGACATCTGGATTCAGAGACTTCATTAAGCTGAAGTGGTCTGGGTGCCTAGAGTGGTCATTTAAAGGACTACTATAGTGCCAGGAAAACAAACTCGTTTTCCTGGCACTATATAGGCCCCCCCCACCCTCATGGTCCCCATCCCGCCGGGCTGAAATGAGAGGAAGGGGTTAAATCACTTACCTTTCTTCAGCGCCGGGCTCCCTCGGCGCTGGGGACTCTCCTCCTCTTTCGGATGCCGAATCTTGGAAGTAACAGGACACAGCATTTATTAAAAACACAAATACTGCATGACTCCTTCAACGTATAACTTTACATAATATTCTCATTAATAAATAAATAACATGTAAGTACCTGCATGATGTCATACATTACTTATCCAACATGTCCTTGCAAAATCTCATTCTTTCTTCCCAAAGGCTCTCACCAACCCCCCTCGGCATAATAAACTCCTTTTGCCTTTTTGGCACCCCACCAGCAGGCTTTTAGCTCGGTGGGGCCCGACCATAATGCACCCAAAAGGTGGCTTAAGCTCGGTGGGGACACGTCCAACTTGGTACCCTTTAAGGTTCATCAAAGAGACAGGGGAGGATGATACCCGGCCATTACCCCCACCTTCATCTAACCTGCAAAAGCCACCACCCCTTACTTGGCAAGGACACACCCCCTGCCACAACCCGCCGCTGTTTTAAGCCTAAAATCAGTGGGGGCCCCAAACAAACCAACCATGGCCTGTTTCACCATCTCTTGAATGGCCAGATTAAAACGGTCGAGCCCGACCTCAGTCAAATGAACACCCTCCGGCTGAAACAAATCTGCCGCCTCCTTCTCAAAAACCCTGTGACGAATGGGTATCCTCCCACCCCTACAACGAACTGTGAAACCCGATAGTTAAACTCCTCATGGCAGCCCTCCAGCGCTGTGTGCCTGCCTCCAATAGTTCCTCGCCACAAACTCTGACCACACTATGCAAAACCCCGCTAATAATATAAGGATCCGGGACAAGTCCCGCTTCACTATGTCCACCAAGTCCCCAACCGGCGCCGTCCCCAGGTCACTACCCCCCAGGGGGATGACTAGAACCGATGACACCAACAGCAAGCAAGAGAGCCTGACCAATTCCAGGAGGAGACGGACCCACCTCATGCCCCTGGTGCCTAACCACCGAACCTCCACAGTCGAAGGCGTAAAGCTGAGCAGCTCCCCTCTGGGACCACCGCACGCAGTGGATTTAGGACTGCCCAATCATCCAGACCTTGGGGGGGGGGCACCGCACCCGAGAAGGAGAAAACAATCAACTGAGTAAACCAGCAGGACGCACATAGGAAACAAACCTCCTACGGTTCAACCTTTCTATCCTCCGCACCTCCTGATCCAGCATACCCAGCCAAGAGGCCTTCGTTGCAGCACCAATGTGGAAAGAATGCCCGCCAAACACTGCGCCGTCCACCCCCAAAGCAGCCAGATGAAAAAAGCCCGGAGAAATTTAAAATGGGAGACGAAGCTCCCATCCTCGCGTACCATGAGCGGGGCCAACCAGCAACGTCCGCACCTCGCAGAACTCCCTGGACGCCCTGACCAGACAGGTGGCAAATCCTGGGAGCGCTACCAGTGAGACCCATGTGCCCTTGCTGACGACGTCGGTCTTTGACGGATGATTCTTGAAGGACAGCAGGTCCTGACCATCCCGGACATCCGCAAACAGGATCCCCCCACCGGCCGACCTGCTCGGATTCACCAATTCCCCAATCCTCATGGCCCCAAATAAGGCAAACGAAAAGGCGAGGCGAAACCCCCCCCACATAACTAGTAGCATAACTCTGGGAGCACATGGCACCATTGTGCCAATAGGGCCCCCGAAACCGGCCTCTTTGAATCTGCAGTAACTTGATCCCTGCGCAGGACCTTCACCGCCTGTCACACCAGAAACTCCGTGGTGACATCCTCCCAACCCTGGAGCTTAAACAGAAAAAACCATCCCGGACAAGCGCGAGGACACCGCCGAGGGCGACACCCGCCAAAACCCCAATGCTTGAGCAGTCGCAACAGACCCTGTAATGAGCGGGCAAAACCGCAAAGATACCGACCTCTGACTCCAGCGCCTGCCATTCCACCCATACCTTGGAGTACCTGGCCCAAGAGGAACTGGACCTACATGACACATTAAGACACAGGCACCAGAGCACTAGGTGCTGGAGAAGGCGTATAACCAGAAGAGAAGAGGCAGAGAGCTGGTTAATCACCCTGGACCACCCCAAGGTTGTCACACTGAAAAACGACCTGATGGTCCTGTAGCTCCCAGCAGTGTCCGTATAGAGGTACTTCTGTAGCCTGCCAAGATGACCTCCCATAATTCTCGGTCAGGAAGGAATCCCAGACCTCCATATCATTGCGCAATTGCCTTGTGAGCTGGATAAAATGCAGTGGTCCCGGTACCCCGGCCACAAGGGGCCTGCAGGCCACCAGGCGTCTGATCTGGCAGGCGAAGGCCAACCTCCTCAACCCGCCCCATGGGCATGATCCGGCAGGCACTCAAACTAAAAGCAGGATATGGAACAACCCATTGGGAGGCACAAATCCACATAATACCAGCCATCAAACACACCACCCAAGAGATGATGACAGTCCAGGTGAACTGGCAACAAGCGGAACACCGCTCCGACGTCGGCCTTTGCCAACAATGCCCAAGGTCCAACGCCCTGATCATGTGCACCGCAGCATCGAAGTATGCATAGGACACCTGACACAGCTCCGCAGAGACATCTCCATTCACCAAACCCACGTGAAGGGAGGACAAACGATGCATCAGCTGAAACTTCCCAGCCTCCTTCCTGGGCACCAAGCCCAAGGGGGGGCCCGCAAGTTGGGAAGCGGCATGGGCTCAAATGGTCCCGCCACTCGGCCCAAAGCTACCTCCTGCTGGAGCTTATCCAGCACCACTTGAGGGAAGTCGAGCACCGACTTCAAGTTCCGTACCGCCCCCGAAGCCGGGCGCTCCAAGAAGGGAATCCAGAAGCCATGGGTGACCCCTTCCAGTAGGAGCCCCACGGCCCGCCGATTTCAATAGCGGTTGAGCCATGGGCGCATCGTGCTTACGAGCACCGGTGTCATCACTCTGAGCTTCAAGTCCCCTTTCTCTCTGGACTTACCCCCCTTGAAACAGCGGGAGGTTGAGTGTGCCCCACCACGATGGGAGCATTCGTGCTTAAAGCGGCACGACCCGCCCCACATTGACGGACATTAAACTTCCAGCAAGGACCCGGTCGTTGCTGCGAGGCAGATGAGGCGGAGCTGCCCCCCACTGGCCCCTCCAAGAAAGGAGGACACCCCCCCCGGTGCGCAGCCGGCTGGGTCAGCATGACCACCTGATCCCACGCTACAGAGGGCCGGACCGCGAGGCGCTGATGAAATTGTTCGTCATAGTGCCACCAAGCCAGGCCACTATAAGTACAACACACATTCCGAATGGTGTCCTGGTAGCAAAACAGCGCCGAGCAGTGCTGGGGAGCCCTCTCCCCAATCACGCTCTCCAAGATAGCGAACGCCCGAACTCAAGTCACCAACGTCTTAGGAATTTCCTATAACGGAACTTTCCAGTATCTTTATCCGATTCCTACCCATCCTTGTCCCCCAGTGGAGAGGCATCGTCGACACAATTCCCCTTTCCAGATTTTCCCCCGAACCTCCTGTTTGAGATGGACCCTTAGGTGGCCCGACCAGCCTCTGCTCCTAGACTGGTAAACTGCGTATTGTTGCGTCTGCGACACATCCAAAGCCCCCTGGTCACCCCCACCCCCGTGACTATGCAGGGGAGATGGGGCACAGCCCCTAACAAGGAAGAGGCTAACCACACACCCCCGGCCGCCGCGCTGGGGACAGAGCCCACATCCACCACCCGCCGGGGGACGTACCATCGCGACAGGAGGGGACCACACTGAGTGCAGCTGACTGTCCAACCCCTGAGCCAGCGCACACCGCTCCCACTGAGTGAGGAGATCCCGCAAACCCGACATCAACCCGCTTAGCGCAGACGCCCCAGCCAGCGCAGGAAGACATGACTCACCTGACGGCACCCCAGGAACCGCTGGTGGCTCCAGAGCAGAAACAGCAGCTTGAGAAGAGGATTCCATCACCTGCTGCGCAGTTCCCATGGCAACTGGAGCTCCAGACGCCACCTGCTGGACGGATCCGGCAACTGCACCCAAAGTCTGAGGAAGCAGTGGAGAGCCCACGCTCCAGGACAGGAGGCTGTCGAGACAGGTAAGGAAAGGGGTGGGGGTTGGGTAAGGGCAAAGCAGGCCTGCAAGGAGTGGGGGGGGGGGACAGTAAAGAAAAGATAGGGAAAATAATGAAAGAGGGGGACACAAATAATAAAAGAGGGGGACACAATAATGCATGAGAGGGACACAATAATAAAAGAGGGGGACACAATAATCGAGGGAAGAACCACGGGAAGGAGGGGGTGGGGCGCACCACCCGCAAACCCAGCCCGGGCAAAAGAAGGAGGGGAAGGTTGGGACAAGAAGACCCCCTGGAGCCCACGAGGGGGATCCAGAACTCCTCCCCACCCGGCGGCAGCAGCGAGAGCCACCCCGCGTGCCCCGCAGGGGCCTACTCACCACTGCTGGCCGAAAGGGGAGGACCTGACGCCCGGGTAGATTGCCGTCCAGCCGCCCTCCCATTCTGGGGGGAGAACGGTCCACAACAGATGCCACCACCTGTTGGGGTGGCGGAAGGCCTGGGGGACAGGGCAGGACGCATGTGGCCCTGTTGAAGCTTCGGGCCCGGGCTGCGGTTCCTGTATCAGGCCCGAGGAGAAGAGCTGGGGCTCAGCCGAGCCGGGGGTCAGGTGCCTTGGAGAAACAGGGGGAGCCAGACCACTGGGGGGAGGACCACACCGCCAGGCTGCTGGGGAAGGAAGACTGTCTGCAGCACCAGCCCTGTGGGCAGACATCCAGGACACCCACAGGCTGAAAATCCAACAGGCCCAGCAACAGGAGGAGGCAAAGAAACTTGTTGCTGGCCCGGCTCCTAAATGGCACTGAGGTCAGTCCCAATTGTCACCACCCACTTCCTCTCATACAACACTCCCCCAACATAAACACAGCCCATCCTGTTTCATCCATTCCCACACTCATACATATGCCCTTGTCTGCTAAGCTGCACACGAGCAGAGACCAAAGAGAGAAAAAAAAAAAAAGTTACCTGCGCTCTTCCCAAATCACTATGCAAATTTCAACAAATGGAGGTAATTTGTTCCCCTTGCTGCCACCCAAGAGTAGTGGGAGTTTGTGCCCAGGACTTTTTTTTGTATTTGTATTCATTTTTGTATCACACAGCTATGTTACAATGCTGCTGCCCATCCCATGTGTTCCCTATTAAGGGTTAATATGTATGGGTTTATATAAAAATACCCCTTTGTGTCTTATTACAGAGATCTTTGCCAGAAGCTCAAGGAAGCAAGGTGAATAGTCAATGTATGACCCACCTAAGAGGTTTGCCATGACGTGACAGGTGGGCATTCCCTCTCATGGCCATTGCAGTAACTAAATTACCTCCATTTGTTCAAATTTTTATAGTGATTTGGGAAGAGCACAGGTAACTTTTTTTCTCTTTGGTTTTTACTGTATGTATTGGGGTTGATGTGTACTATGGTCATTACGGTCGTCCTAGATTAGTGGGAGTTTGAGCTCAGGACTTGTTTTTTTTAATTTCTAAAAAAGTAATTTATATAAGTATAATTAAATGTGGGTCATGTTAGAGGGGATTTTTTAAAATATTTTTTTCCAGTCTATTGTAGACAAATAGTGAATTTCAACCCTTTCACCACCAGAACCTTGTCACGTGCACTTTTGGAGTATGGTACTTTCATGACAGGACACTCCAGAACAGGGGTCATCAAACATTTTAAACAAGGGGCCAGTTCACGGTCCCTCAGACACTATTGGGGGCAAGACTATAAAAAATATAAACAAATTCCTATGCACACACACGCATAAGGACATAAATACACACACACACACACACACATATACATGCACATACTGACATACATATAATTTTGCTTACCTTTTTTTGCAGGTGGGTGGCTGATGGAAATTGGCGTGGCTCCCGCGGCCTTTCTTCCCTTCCGGGAGGGAGCTGGGAGGAAGTGACTGGCCATCACTTACTCCCAGCACTACTTTGCAGCTGCGATTCTTTTTAAAGGGGCCCAGTCACATTATTGCACAGCCGCTGTGCTGACCGGACCCCTGAATATATAGGGCCCATTGGGTGGCCCTGGTTTCTTGGGCTGGGTTCAGGACCCTGGTGGGCCAGACCCAGCTTGCAGTCCATAGTTTGAGGGCCCCTGCTCCAGAACAAGATGGCCACACTCACGAGGGACCTGTTCAAGTAAGTCAAGCTCACCTTTATCTGCCCACCCAGCCAGCAGACTTCCAGCGTCAATGTTACTGTCCGAGGTCTTTGCGAATTAGGCAAAGTTCCCAGTTGGTGATAGTGCCTCTTTAAGCCCTTCTTTGTCATTATTCTAAACGCAACTCCATTTATGATAGAAATTGTGTGTGTTCCTTATCCCAAAATATATAACATTGACCAATCTACATTAAATCATGCTTTTCTACACCCATGACTTACCCAAATCCCTCCGTGGAAAGTAAATACTACTCAGACTTTATTGCCTTACTTTAATCACACTTCCTACACTTGGCATTCTTCTAAATATTCTATTTAGTAAAGGCTATAAAAAGAAACTAACACACTGGTCAAAATTTTAATTTTCAGTGATTTCATTCCGTTTTTCAGCAAGATGTTTCATGGAGTGGATAACATTTTATAATGTATGTGATCAATGTATGTGATGTAGAGAAATGCCAAACCCTTGCAGGAATTCACTATACATTTCTTCACCAATTCGTGAATGCGGTCCATATTTCAAAAAAAATGTTAATTGCGTTAAGGAGAAATGTAATATGACCAGCCAAGAACTCTATTATCATACCTCCCAACTGATCCAGAGCTTGTAGTGTCTAACCTGAATTTGGAGTTCTGTCCTGGATTTGGCCATGTTGCCCTGCATCTCAGTGAGTGTTTCATGGTTACGTTGAATAACTTAGGGCACTAGGCCCAAGGGACAGAGAACATCAAAAGAGCTGTGGGCTGGCTGACTGCCCTGAATGTGGTCACCCAAACAGCATGTGATCACCCAAACATTAGCCAGCCAGGCCTGCACACAGCTCCAGGCTGTACCCCTTCCCCTCCTTAACAGAGGGGAAAGGGTACAATTTTTTCCTGGCCAGGCCTGCCCCTTTCCTAGACAGGTGTGCCTACTATTGCTGCCCATTCCGGCCTTTCCATTCACTCATAACTAACATTGTTAGGGGGTATGCCAATACCAATACTCAATATGGTGTATAGGAGGCTGCCTTTCCCTAGGAAGAGGGGGAAGATGTGGTGGAATCTGAATAGATTTGAATACCATCTCATCAACAGCTTGTAACCTCTTTGATCAATATACAGGCAGTGAGCTAAGGTATTCTCTTTTACTTCATATTATACCTGATACAGATAGGCTATAGATTATTAAGTTATAATAAATTTATAAATATATGGACTTTAACATTATTTCAAGGGCAAAAAAAACTACCGTGCGATGACATCAAACTTTATTTTACACACAATATTTTGAATATATATTATTTCTCAGTTTGTATATTCAACACACAGAAGCTCAAACAAGACAAAACAGGAATACAAGTAAGAGGAACAATGAGCTTCAATAGGAAAAATTCTGTACATACATACATTATGTGCAAGTGACCATCTCGTTACATACAAGCTATGGAAAGGTAACATTTATTTCCACAAGTTCCTAATCTTATTAACTGCCAAGTGCTTGCCACTTAGTTTCAGATGCCTGCTACCTAGGTAGCAGAGGAGTTTCACAATGTTATAATCCTTCAATAGCATGTCACTGTACTAATGTTTACAATTAATCTGAGAGTCACTTGATACTGGGTGTGCAAGTCTGAAAAGGTTTCATATTTCACAAACCACAAGACCATTTTTGCTAAAGATTGATCAAACATCTTAAAATGTCAGAGGTTTCCCACCATAGGAGGTACGCGTATTAAAATGGTGGCTATGCCAGGCAGGGATCCAATTTTAATTTATCCTGTCCCTCCCACTCTATTTTTGATATGACCAGCACAGAAGTTCCTGGCAACAAAGTGCAATTTTGAAGGTGCTTCAATGGCAATAAGTTCAGAAGTCGATTGATCTCAAACAGGTCGAAGATGAGCAAGCCAGGGACATCCTTCAGCAAACTACATATTTACCTGGTAAAAAGAAACAGTTTCAGAGAAAAAAAAAAAAGTGCAAGGAGATCACTGTGCCAAAAGACAAGTATAAAAGTTTGAACAGAGATGCAAACAAGGTTACAGAGTTAAGGTGTAATGTGAAGCAAGGAGATTATTGTGCCAAAAGATAAGTATAAGCATTTGAACAGGGAAGTGAGCAAACAAGACAAAGGAGTTACGAACAACATATATGAAACGTTGAAGATTTAAAAAAAAACAAAAAAAAACTGGCATTTTTCACCTGCTGCAAACCTTTTCTTGACCAGCGACATTCTGTATCCTGAGCCCGCCAGTTCTATATCCACACCTGACAGGTTACTACCCTCACATGTAAACTGAGCCGCTGCTGGAGAAGGATTGCTTTGAGAGCGAAGTGGTTGCCATCGAGCACATAGCCTTCCCCAACCTGCAACAAGTGGGGGATAATCAGAGTCGAAACGGACACACACAATTCAGTACAATGATATAAAGAGCAACTCTGGGGCAATGCTACTACAGAGGAGGACTCACTAGGGACATTCATTTGATTTCTATGGTGATTGTAGCACATTTAGAAATGTGCAGATTATGTATAATAGGCATTTAGTGACATTATCACCTGAATGTTGGTTTGTTTTTTTGCACAATATAGAAAATAAAAATCACACTTTAGCAGATATACCCCAAATAAACAAATTCACTATTTCACATTTTCTTTGGGGGTATATAAAAATGAAGCTTGCTGTAGATCTTAGTAATTCTTTCTTAGCACAGACTAATTTGTACCTAAGAATAACCAGAGGACT